CCTACCTTCCCTCCCCTCTGTTCACATACCCCGTTTGTTTGAAAAGACGAACCTTAATCGATTGCTCTTATCACTTATACGTTTCGATTTCTACCTCGTTCCCATATAAATGTACAGGCCCGATGAGAATTTATCGGAAGCATGCGTATGCTCGCCAAATTCTCTTCGATTTACATCGTATTTTGATATCACTCGTTACCCTATATACGCACATATGATTATCTTCAAATTTCCAGTAACGAAAAACTACTCCAGAATTCCACGGGCTGCGCACCAGGCAAACGGAATAGTTTACTTCAAAAACACAAGGTCGGTCAGATGTGGTTACGTAGCCCCATCTGAAGTAAACAATCCCCAGCCCCTGTAATACGGAACCGGCGGTAGTAGGGGTTTTCACAGGGGAGGCGGGGAACGCACAGGCGACGAGGTCAGATGGCTGTATACAAAAGAAAAGCTATTGGGAGTGCGTGATTGTACTTTGAGCGGTTGCGAAATAGTTATCCTAACCTCTAACCCTAACCCCTAACTCTAGCCCCTAACCCCAACCCTAGCAGTATTGTGTCCATCGGGTGAGGCTACATAACCACGTCTTACCGAAGAATAAAATTAATTGACAATAAATCATTTTATATCCAACGTTCGCGTCCCATTTCGAAAGTCCTTCCTTAGTACTCAAATTGGGCGGAATGTCTTTGTCAATGCTGTTAATACGAAGGCTTGTCTCCTTACAGTGAGCCACGCGGGAGTCGTGCTGGGGCAATACGAGGCCCAAACTGGGGTACGACACGCGTTATTGGGCTGCGCAACCACACGATGAGTGCTACACGCCTAGGTGCAGACCTGCGCCGCGCCAACCATATGCGCCTTAACACTGGACCCAGGGACGTGAGGGAGGAGAGAATGCGGTAGATGTAGCGCGAGTCTACTACGACCAGACTAATTCACGCGCAACTCAACCTCCCGGCACCCACCCTACTGTGGGGCACACAGTAGACTGTCAAATACGAATGCTATTCGATATAACAAGATTCATCCTGAATGCCACTCTCACTACGGGAATTGTTTCCGTTGCCACAGAAGAATCAGGGCTGCTTAAATTTGCATCCGTCATCGCTGATTGAAGGACCACCTCAAAGAGAATCTTCCTCAGGGTAGGGGGGAACAGACCAAAATAATTTAGTTACTAAGACGTGACGTAGTAGCTTAGCCGGCGCGCAACTGCAAAAATGCCTGCTGAACTCCATGCTCGTTGTCAAAAACATTCCGACCCCCTACACTAGTATTTAAGACTGTGGACAAAACGGGTACACTGCATTGACAGTTATTACACTCCTTCCTCTGGGTTATATAGCAATTTTCCTGTGTTTTACATCTGCGAGCAAAAGAACGCGTTTGAACCAGAAAAGATCTGCGCTTGCACTACAAACGTAAGCTCTTTCCCTAACGTCGATTACACCCATTTATGTATATCTACCGATTTTTCAAGGGTTGAGAGACACAGAGTCCAGTCTTTACTAGGCCTCCGCCTTCCGTAGTGAGATGACTAAGGGAGGGGAGGACAGAAGACATCGGGTCTCTGAAGCTTGGGAACATTCCTGTGTCCCCTGCAGCATGTTGTGCTTATCATTCGTTTTCCATCTAACTGGAGCACCAGACAGTGCAGACCAAAAGATTATTACGACACCAGAGAACAATTCGACACCTGACTTTAAAGACCTGACAGGTGTAACCCTCGCCTTCCGTATGCATTGAGCAAGACCCAGAAGCAGAATCGTGACATCGGTTTTTTTGTGATGAACAGAGGACTAGAAAGATGAAAAACCTGTCCTGCTGCTGCTGCCGCTGCGTTTATAAACCTCGATAATTCCCAACCATTGTTATGATACAGCTGTTACGACAACTGGGGGTTTTCGCTTTAGATGACATGACAGTGAAAACGCAATTTATGCTTAGTGTGGTAGAAATGCTAGATGTTTTAACCAACTTACAATGTCTCAAATTCGCTTCCTGCTCAGCCAACAGAAATTTCCTGTTGCCGGTAGCAATTTTAGACCTTCGCTTATGTTTTATTTTTTAAAAATTAACCAAGCAAATTTTTTACAAAACCATAATTGACCGGAAATTAGAATTAGGCAGTCTTGTGCAAAACCGGATATATACAAGGGAACCATTAGCGAAACTCTCCTCTAAAATCCGTTTTTTCACCAATAAAATACCGGTCAAAGCTGTGCATAGAAATCTGTAAGTGACCATATGCAAGACAGCATCTTGAACTCCCCTAAGACGATGAAATTAAAAATAATGTTTTAGAGCAGTCGTAAGGTCTAACATAATTGGTTTGGCAATGATGGAGATGGAATCAAAGTGTGATTCAAGAACAAAGTTCCCAATGCTTTTAATATTTTCGACATATTTAGGGGTTGAATATTTTCAGCCAGACTGATACTGCAGGGAACTGTCCTTTAAAGGGTCATCTATATAAAGAATGCCAAACGCAATTTTGTCTTCCGCTATATTCTCGGGGAATCAAATAGGCATTATAATCAAACCAAATATGCTGTGTCGTATTACAAATCACACCTTCTATATATACATTATTTTAATCCACTTTGTTAGAAACGATGGCTCATTTTTAAAAACAGTTTTATATATCGGGCTAGGGGAATTTTGTTGATCATTCACAAATATACAGCTCGAAGATGAAAGAGCAAACAGTGAACGACCCTCATGAGGTTAAGTAAAGTCTTCAGGGCCGATTGGTTTTACAAATTACTTTTTGGGATATTTTACGATACTTTGATGGAAAAGATCTCAGTTTGTAGGTACAAGCAAACATGATTATAACAGTGCGTTTTTGAAGTAAACGGAAAAGGCAGGAAAACCAACATACAGACGAAGTTTACCTATGTACACATACTGCCACTATGCCAGAGACAGAGCGCGTTATCTGGCAAAAATAAGTTGTTTGTACATGAGAATTAATGTCTGAGTGAGTGCTTGAGTCTTAAAAAAGGGGGGGGGGGGAGAATTTTAAAAGCTATTGGATATCGTATGTGAGTTGGGTCGACTACTCTTGTGTGATTAATGCAAAACCTCAATTTTTTCGCGCAGTCTTCTAAACCTGACTACACAGCCGATCATCAGTTTCCAGTCTGACGTTTGAAGCGGTTGTGATGAAGCCTTGTGGGCTTAGTTGGCTCTCGTAGGCGGCCATATTGGCGTCCGAGTGGTTAATATCTTTACTTCCGTTGAATAGTGTAAAGTTGGAGAGACTGAGTTTTCTCACAATCGGCGGCCGCTGACTGCCACTGCCATTTGTACAGACTCCACTGTCACTACTGCCGTTATTTGTGTCACTGACTGCATTAGTGCAAAACGTCTCATCGCCTGAGACCGCCTTTGACTGCTCCTTGAATGTGACCCTCGGTGGGCCAATTCTTCTTGACGAGGAGGAGGCTCTGATCGTGCGTCCATGCACTTCACCGGCTTCAGGGCTACCACTGCTAGCTCGACCGTTCACTAGACTAGCATAGGTGGGGTCTAAACTGGCTCGTATCTGACTGACGGAAATAAAGGCCGGTGGCGATTCGTCCGAGTCATTGTTTATCTCATAGGAGCCACCATCACACCCCATGTGATCCATTTGTGTCTGTTGGGACGTCGGGAGTTGTGGGGGCGATCCCTGGTGCCGAAGGTGGGCGTAATTACTGAGTTTTGCGTTAGAGATCGAATGAGATACCCGCATAGCATTTGGTGTATGTGTCGCCTGCACGGCGTTGTCCGATTCATCTGAAAGGGTTGGTGGGCCAGCCCGAAGAAGACCTCCAGAACCGCCTGCGGATCTAAGATCAGGCGGAAGATCATTTACCGCGGGCGCGATATCTGTGAAACAGCCATATACCGAGTCCATAGCTGACGGGCCGCGTTCCAGCATTGCATTCTGTGGAGCGTAGGACTCACTAGGAAAGGGTTGTCTGGACGTGTCGAAGGGCACTGGGGAGCTACCAAAGGCAAGACTACCTCCATTAGGGGCCACCCAACCGGGCTGGTACTGCAGCCACGGCCAGAGATAGCCTGCACCAAATCTCTGGGCTGATGGGTGATACGAGAGTGGCCAGGGCGGGACTGTCATACCTTCAGTGTGAGGCATGTGACGAGGCGAGGTTGTTCGTGAGGAGCTGGAGACTGGTGAGGGTGTATGCAGCATCCTAAACCTCCAGGCGGTCTTCACGGAAATTCCAAACCACAGAACTAACCACAGGATGATGTACAGAATGGAGAAGATGACAAATGTGAGGGGAAGACCGACTTTAGAGTACCAGTAGCATTGAAGCATCGGACCAAATAGACAGGCTCGCGTGGCAAGCAGACAGGCTAGAGATACACCAGAAACCACAGCTGGCCAAAAGGCGACTGATGACTTGATTTTTTTGGAATTTCTTTTCGGGCTGCCCTCGCTGGTGGAAATTCGACGTGATCGCAATGTGGCTGAGCGGTCGCTAGCTCCAGACATAGACTGAGGCAGCACGGAATGGGTGGTCGTGTTTGTTGTTTGTTTGCGTATAGGATGGGGGCGCCAGGTCTTGGTAGTCACCGCAATAACACTTGGACCAAGAAAAAGTTCAATCGGTTTTTTGAACAGCGGACCGCCTTCAGGTCCAGGAACCGGGAATAGGGCCGAGCCCTGGCTCTCCCGATCCTCCCCAAACATTTCTGTGGATGTTTTTCTTTGGGACATTAAATCGAATTCACCGGCCACTATGAGACGTGCGTAGTTATTGACTGCTTGCCGGAACAGGAGTTCTCCCGAGGCATAGAATGCTACCAGACCGGCAAGTAGAAACAGAAAACTGACTGTGCTTACGGCCATGCAAATCCATGGATCCACCAGTTGGGAATCTTGTGCAATTATGCTGATTCGGTTTCCGGCGGCGTCTCTGCTTCCGGCAGTTGTGAGCTTAACAAGAACTTCGACTGCGGCTGCCTCAAGCAAAATGTAACAACCAGTCAAAGCAGTGTACACTGAGAAGAGAATTGAGAAGGCCCTGCTCGTGAACCAGAAGGGAGCTGCAAATCGAATTGTCAGAATTACCAACGAACTAGCCAAAAGCACAAATTCTATGCTGATTTCAGCAGGTTGGGAGGGAAATGGATGGCTCGGGAAAGAGCTTGAACTTTGACGGTTGATGGCTAATCGGAGGAAGTTGTCCTGCAAAGGAACTTGAGGGTCCATTCTGTTGGTGCGGCCAACGCCGAACTGTGTGGAGGCGTCTTTTGGCAGCTGGGAGTGGAATAGCGTAGACGAACTTCCGAAACCACTTAAGAGCCAGTCGAGGTTAGATTTGCGGGCAAATGCTACAAGAAGAGAACGTTATATTAAACACTGATACGAAAAAAGTGTCAGACTGATGAAACTGAAGTTACACAACTCCAACGTAAAGTAAGCAATTGCAATCTGCAGAACTGAAAACGGCAGTAAACCTATAAACGAAGCCTAAGATAGCATTATTAGATTGTTGCCTACATTTATCTTCATTTATTCGTATAATCTAACCAAAACCACAATTACTGCTCGATTTCACACCTGAATTTTGTGTCCGCTCATGTAAGGTATATCCGAATGTTTTTGCTGGTTAAAAAAGGTCGGTCAAATCAGACACATTCAGTTAATTTTCAAACCTGAGAAATTGGTTCTAATGCTCTGGTTTTTAAAACATTTTCCCAATTTTCTTAAAATTCGGTATTTTTTTATCAACTTGTGAATCGAGAGCTAGATTTTTTTTATTTAATCTAACTGCATTGCCTAAGTTTTATGATTGCCACGACAAGCTCATCCGCGCTGCATTGACCGAAGGCAGCCAAAAAGTCAAGTTCCTTCTTAGTCTTCTTTCTCAATACTGATCTGAGCAACTAAAAATAGTCCTCAGATGTAAGGACGTATCGTTAATACTTGCTTTCACATTTAAATTAAAGAACCGAACTGTGGAGGACTTGTGCACTTATTTCGGCTTATTTAGGCAAGCGAAAAATTTCCTCTGAGAGTTCAAAAAGCGCATAGGTGCATTATGCTGCTCTTGTTTGTTTTTTGGCACCACTGCGAACTACTTGTCTCACTTTGTTCTTAAGCTTATCGCAATTGTTCACCAACCACTCTCTGAACTTCTCCCCGACTATTTCCCCGCCGGTTTGGTCCGCTGATATTATAAGTTACCACTACAAAATATCTTACCTACGACAAGTGCTTGAATTGCGCTTTAGCCATTTCTGGGTTACTAGTCGTCGTCAGTAGTGCTACTGTCTAGTCAGATGCTGGCGAACTTGGGGGTTTAATCCGGATCACAGTGGCTCTTAGGTCATTCAAATTTGGCGTCCTCCCATCTGAGTCACTGGGCTTGCCGTCCATCACATGAGCTCGGGAATATAGACAGTCATTTGAGAGTAACATGCTCTTACTTGCCGCCGTTGCATGACGAACATGGGATTTTATTTTATACAAGGCGTTCATATCGTCTGCAATTATCCGCAAGGTGTTCGATAATGTTAATTGAAAATAATAGAAGGAATATGGAATACATCATATCCACTGACAGAAATATTGTGGTAGTGTCAATGCATACCATTCTTTTTTTGTAAAGCCGAGGGTAGAATGCCAAATATAATTAAATAACGAAAAACGAGAGATGCGAACGTAGTTTAATGCGACTGACTTGAAACATCCAGGACCAAGTAGATAAAGGTTCAAAAACCCGAGGTCCACGATTTGACAGTCATTCTTAGGAAGAAAAAGTCGTGCATATACTGCTACTGAGAACCAGAGTGGCGGAAACACATTTCTTTGGCAGCAAAAAGATGTGACCACGACTAACAAGGTCTGAAAAGGCGCCCAGAGATTAGAAGTGACGAAGAAGAGGAAGAATTAGACCAGTAACATGAAGGGGTTTTATTGAGAGAAAACACAAGTTATCCCAATTTTTTTTATATTGCAAAAGGAAGTCAGTGCGACATTTCGCCTGACACGAATCTGCATATAGCGTGAGGAGCTTTCTGGCAGCGATTACTCCTAGTTTTTTGCACTCGTTTACCTGACTAGGTGCAGGAGGTGGTTGGACACCGGAATAATTACTTCCTCGTATTACAGGAGACTCCAGGCTAGATGCCAGGGGGCATTTTTTCCGTGTCCGACCTTTAGCCCTAACCATAACCCTAGTTTTTTTTAACCATAACCCAAACTCCCCCTGGCATTTAGCGCAAGGCCATCTCTACTGCGCGAAGTACGTATTACTGTGGCGTACCTAGAAAGACCGTTTAATATCCTCAAATCCAAGGGAGTACAGTTCCTTTTTATGACTGTCCAGCTTTTCACACGGCTAGAAACGACTAACGCGTCAAAGAGATGCTTAGTGAAGGCTAATTTTCACCACACTCCGTCCTGCTGACATTCCATCAGATCACTCTATTAGAAACTGGCTCAACCTTGCCTTCAGCTCTATGGAAAATTGAGGGTTAATAGTTGGCAGATATCATGGCGTGTTTACCTGTGATAATTTATGCGTCCACGAAGGGACGGTTGTTTGCGACGCCTCATTTAATTCTTAGGAAGTCAGCCGCTCAGGTTACCGGCAATTTCGGCTGTTGCGACCGCACAATTACTCATCTGTTCTGTAGGCTACTTGCTCATGTGTCGCCCCTCAACCCTGAGTCAACCTAGTGTACGCCCGAACGGCAACGCCCAACGCGGCATCTAGCTAGACGCAGTCGACTGCCCTTAGCCGCCGGGCGCCTCTGCGCTATCGTCAATGCCTACGCAGGAACACAGATATCGTCGACGTTGGCGTAACAGAGCGGGCTATGCACGGGCTTTATAAGGGGAATGCAGAACGTCCCTCAATTGCTTGGGTGGAACTTCTTGGGACACTCGGATGTGCGCACTCTTCACGTAACCTCACGCAACAAGGCGATTAGGAGCAATCGCTGAGTGTCGGTTAGTACTAAGCTATAGCATGCAGAAGCACCAAAAAAGATAATTGTTTTCAGCCTGTCCTGGACGCAAGGAAATTAATCTCATGCCTTGTGGACAACCACCACATTTGTCTTATAAATTAAGTGCAATATGAATAAGCGGAAAGCAAAGCGGTAACTCCTTTTTTGGCCGAAAAATTCGTCTTTGTGTCGATTTTATCAAGATGACTCCGTACAACTGAGTTATACGCAATTTTGAAAAAAACATCAGTCGGCGACATCCATACGGCCGCGTCTCTTGGCGTTTTTTGTGATATGTTGTGCTTTACGCAGTAGGGCGTAACAGGCAAATATTTCAGAGGTGCTGTCACCTAGTGCGAATTTTAAATTCATCTCTGTATGATGTCGGGCAACACCGAAAACAATCTTTATCATTCATAGTTTCATACCTATGCAGCTCAATTTTGAAACTCGCGAAACTTTTCAGCTTTCAATTGTCCACAAATAGATCTCCACCCAGCATGAGGCAAAGCGGTTGGCGTCTGATCCTGCTTCCGGATTTAATTATTTTGCTCTGAGACGTCAGTTACGTTGTTTTGGACCCAGGTTAAAACGAGTTAATTGCGGAGCTACACTGCAAAAACTTACGGTTGCAGTTTCGACATAAAATAAGTTGTACTTTGGTGCTTACCCTAGGGTTGGATCTCCCCTGTAGACCATGTGCGCAGTAAGCATGCACCTCGGGTTTTTTTAGCCGGAGCTATTGGACATTGCATGAGTGACGTCTGATATTCCTTACAATGTCGCTTAGGGACTAAGTCTGTGATCGGATTTGTGACGTCCTCACCAAAGAACAACTATCATTTGCTCTATTATTGTTTCTTAGTTTCAAGGGTAACCTTGTTGTAGTGAGTAAATAAAAGTTTATCCCGTCGGAATGACGGTTATTTACTATTCAGCATTGAGATGCGCTTTTGCATAAGTTCGTTTCTTAGTACGATGGTTTACCTAATTACTCTTTAAATACCGAACGGATCCATTTGAATACAGAATCTTCTTACCAGGGAAGAGATCAGGCTGATTGTTTTGAGCATCCCGCGAAGTTTCTGGACAGTGGCGTCATAAACCCTTTCACAGAAGGTGCCGACAAACTTAAGCTAACGCAAAACTCGGAAAAAAACATGCATTTATGTCCGACTTGGTAGTATATATTCGGAACTTTCCATGACTATCAGGTTTGAAGTAGGAAAAAACAGTCGGAATCGTTTATAGCATTAATTAACACTAGATTTTTCAGATTCATAAGCACAGTTTGATTTGCACTGCGAAGGCAAACAAAATTTTAATACTTAAATTACTTCATCTTGGGAAGGAGGGGACAAAACATGGTAATATTATCATTTGAAAGTAATAGGTTTAAGTTTCAGGAACATTCTCTTATACCCCTTACTACCATAGACATAATATTCGGAAAAAGTTTTTTGCGGTATTACTAAACGCTTACTTTGCCTAAACTAGGTCAATTTTCCGGTTATCCCAAAATATGCATGTACTACTAAGAGAGGACAGAAGACAAAGTGCCCAATCTGCTCCGTTTAGTCTCAGTGAAATACAAGCTCATTACAATCATCCACCTGCGAGCGCTAGAAGCCGAGTTAGTTATCCAAGGCCATAAAATTACAAGATACTTTTGAAAAAGATATGGAAGATTTGCTGCATTCCTAACTGTTACTTGCCAACAGTTTTCCTTCATTTCAGACTAAGATTGTGACAAACTGTAAAAGCTGACTATGTCACAATGATAAATTAGAAACAGCCGCAGAACGTTACATTTGTTACGCCCTTCGACAGTAAAAGATATCTAAAGAGAGCAACCAAAGCGGCTGGGCATCTAATTTGGAAAGAGACGAAATATACTGGAGAGAAACCAGGGGTCTCCTTTGCTTGACTTTGCGGTAGGATGTCCGAGACTTGCTTTCGAATATTTACATAGGGCGGAGCTATTTAACAAGGACTCTACGTAGAGTGCGAATACAACGAATGATTTTAGAAAAGCCCGAAACAAGATTTCTCCGACTAGTGAAGCTATTTGTAAACTTTTCTGTAAGTGCCTTGTAATTTGTACGTTAAGCTCTAACACGAAACGTGCGGTCTGCGTTGTGCCATTACTGAGGCCGAAGTGTGAGGTAATCACGAGACCCCACAGGTGAGACATTTCATGAAAGTGCTTTTATCAATTTTTCACAATGATATATCGGGTCGCAGAATGTCAAA